ACAATTAAATATTTAATGTAAGGTAAAAAACGAAAAATAAGTAAATAAATGATTAAAAGTAGTACATACAAGATTATTTATGTATTTTATTATTATCAATACAAATTAAAACAATAATAAATTTCTTTTCAATTATATTTCATTTTAAAGTAATAAAAACATTATGAGTTTATAATAACGAAAAATATTTACATGTTTAATTTCAAAAGTTTAGAAATATGTAAAATGAATATATCTATGTAATAGCAAATGAGTGAAAACACTGATAAAACAATATGAGAGACTCAAATCAAAAAAAAAAAACAAAACTAATTGATGTTAGTTATTGAAGCAGAAAAATTGTTAACAGGTTAAAAGTCTAAAAAAAATAATATATTTTATTTCATTAAAAGGACATTGAACCATCTTATTTAAGTTTTACAAAAGTATAAAAGAACAAATTGAACGTGTTATAATACCATATTAAAAAAAGAGATATAAAGAAATTCACATAAAAACTAAAAAAGTAATTGTCCCACTATTCTTGAATTTTATAACAAAACATATAGATATATGTTTCATAAATCTACGTTTGAATCAAATGCATTGTTTTAACAGTATTACTATGTGGCATCCATTGTTTTAACACCAACGTTCTATTAAGTTTTATTTTATTACTATGTGGAGTAGGGGTGGAACGATTTCGGATGACCTAGATTTTCAGGGTATCCGGATCCGGAATCATCGGATCTGTAGAAAAACTATCCGGATCCGTGACCTCCGGATATCCGGACTCTAGATATCCGACCAAAAATATCCGGATCCGAAATTAGTATTAAAAATAATTAAAATAATTAATAAATAAATTAAAATATATTTTAAAAATTTATTAATTAATATTTTAAATGGTATTTTTCATTATAAATATAATTTATTATAAAAAGAACTAAAATAAATTTATATATATATTCATTTATATAAAATTAGCTTAATAGATATATAATATATATGTTTTTAATATATTTAATGCGTCCGGATCCAAATCTGGATCCTAGATTTTACTATCCTTATCCGGATCCGGACTCTCCGGATATCCTAATTTTCGGAGTGATTTCGAACAGATAACGGATCTCGGATCCCGGATAATAATTTCATCCCTAATGGAGAGTTACTGATCAAAATTATAGTGAATATATATATATAGTACTTT